TTTTTTATCCTTGTTTTTTAGCTATGTATTTAAGCTCTAATATTCTGCGGATCTTTGCCACATCTATGTATACCAAAAAATCTGTCATTTATATATACCATATTGGTGTTGGTTTTTACTCAAATGTGTCAATTGCGAAGCACTCGGCAATTCTTTTGGGACTTGTATAACATTTCCCTTCTGGTTGTTGCCTGTTGTCTATTTCCCGCGTAAAGAGATATTTATCGTATCACACAGAACGAAGTGTGAAACAAATAAGTGATACGAAAAAACGTTGATTTTGATTGGCCTATCCTATAACGTGTTTCGAAATTGCGATATTTCAATTGGCTACTGTTAAACAGTTTGATCAATAATGACTTTAAAGGGTCATATTACATAGACTGAACGTATAGCTAGCCGCCTAGCCGCTAAATAGAAGTAGATAGCCCCCAAAAACATCATGCTATCTACTCGGAAAATTCAAAATAGCGTAGGTTGATAATTACTTTGGACACCAAAGGCTCGTTAAAGTTATTATTTTGAAACTTAATAACTCGAGTTGATATCACGCGATATTCAACACTCATGTACTCGTTATGAAACCAATAAATCTCACCTTTAGAAATGAAAATACTTAGTAAAATTAATTGTATATGCTGTAAATGTAAATTGCATTGTGTGCAATGAACGTTGTAGCAGAGATCATTATATTTGTATTAAACATCTGATTTCCAATATGGGAATGTGTGATAATGTCCTTGATGGCTAACAGTAATTACATTGTTGTAATAACATTGTATAATAAAGATTGATGAGATAATCGGATAAATAATTGTCAGTATAATTACTTTTATATTTATCAATATATCTTGCCTTTGGAGTACACTGACGCGATAACCGGACATTGATATTTACTTTAGTTGCTAGGTGTACACAATGACGTATATGTAGCAGTGAGTTTTCTTTCATCCGTTCTCCGAGAAAACTTTATGCAGCACTGTTGGGGCATCTCTTTTGGAAAGACTGTAAATGCCAGGTGTTTTCCTAACGAGAAACAGATGTCTTAAAAAAGGAATCGTTAGAGTATTGCTTCGTGTTTCATATTTTTAGGCAGGCATAAAAAAAAAATAATTCAGTAGACATCATGTGTGATCATTTCTCGTTTTTTTGCAGGCATGCATATGCTCTTCATGAAATGTTCATATACTTACTGCACGTATTAGAATTTCTTTTCCGTTTTTTTTTTATAGTATTCTTGAAATGTTAAAGCCAATCGAGCAAAGAGGGTTTTAAATATATAAGTCAAATAATAATAATAAAAAAAAACTAGTATCTCAATTGTTTGTAAAACAATTGAAAGGTCTTTCCTGTAAAAGTGATGTTTTTGTAATGTACTCTTTAAGACCTTTCATTTGATATACGACAATTAAGCATACCTTCTGAAAATTTTCACTTTTTACACTTAATGACCCCATCCGCCTACATTTTTGATATCGGAAGTATGATATATGTAATGTAGACTTGATGATCTTTCATATGATATGTGACAACGCCATGTTCTAGAAAGTTTTAATTTTTGCACTTAATAACCCCATCCACCTCATTTTTGGAGGACAGGAATTTGATATTTGAAATGTACACCTTATGACCTTTCATTTGATATACAACAACGTTATTTTAGAAGACAATTTATTTTCTGCACTCAATGACCCCGCCCAACCCATTTTTGGGGGACGTCAATTTGATATTTGAAATGTACGCTTTATGGACTTTCATTTGATATGCGACAACCTAACCATCTGAGAAGTTTGATTTTTTTGCACTAAATGACCCCACCCTTCCCACTGGGATGAAAAAGGGGTTTGAAATTTTCATTTTTGAGTAGAGCTCATTAAGACCTTCAATTTGATATATATATAATGACCGCATTTGGCAAAGTGCCAAAAATGATGCAATATCAATTATATAAATAGAACTTATGAAACTTAGTCAATGTAAAAGATGAAAATTTCAAATTGATTTTTTTTTTAGTTTTTCATTGAAAGTTTCTGGTAATTAGTCAAACATATAACCATGTTTAAGTCTTCAATTTCTGAAAATTTCAGGTGGAAAGCTGTTGTTGATTCAGAAATACATGCCTCCGCTCGCAAAATTTCAAACTGCATTATCTCTAAAACGACAATAGATATTTCAAATCTGTTAAATGATAAATGATCTGCAGTTAAAGGAAAACATCGTAGACAAAAAATTTGGATAATTCCAAAGTTCATCAAGGTCACAATGAATCATCAAATATAAGATGCAATACCAAACTTGAGAACCGCAAGTCGTAGAGTCATGGAACTACCACCATTCAACTCAGGATCACTTGACCTTTCAAATGCCACAAGGTCAAGGTCATAGTACTCTTTGAAGGTCAAGGTAAAATTTCATCATGACCTGACATTGACCTCAAACTGAAGGTCTTAAAATACTGATCATTTTTGCAGTTTATAATAGGTTGATATCTGTTACCTTTTAAAAGATATGCACACAAAACTATACTTTAAAGAATTATCTCGTCGTAACTTTTGAACAGACGGTCGGACATTTTTGAGCTTAATGTATAAAATGTAGAGCTTGTCGAGAGGAACATTTTATACACAGTATGTATGCAGCAAACTCTTATCGTTTTCTTAATATGTATAAGCATGAAATTGCAGCGTAAATTTTTTTTGCACTCATTGACCTTTAACCTTGGGTGCAATTTAAAGGTCACATGAATTAAAGATTATTGGTGAAGGTCCCAAGTCTCTACGACTTCCGGTTCTCGAAATACAATTTTTTTTAAAATTGAGTATTTTTTTCAAGGGAAATAACTCCTTATAAGGGTTGATAACATACTAATTGTTTATGTTTATTAACATTGCCATTTGTTCCTGTAGATGCTGCCATTTTCAATTCGATTCTATCTTTAATACTTTTTTTAGAAAAATGCAAATAAAAGAAATTGCTTCAAGGGGATGCAACTCTCAAAGGAGGTGATGAAATCCTACGCAGCCTCATATGGTAATACATCATGATGAGATCTACCTATAGAACAAAAAAGGTCATGGTATCTTTAAAAACATCGAGGGGGGCCATGTTGAAAAAACCCAATAAAAGGGAGATAACTGCTACAGGGGATGATGAAATCCTACGTGCCCTCATCTGGTAAGAGTTCATGATGAGGTCTATCGATGGTCCATATTTGGTCTTGATAACTTCAATAGAAACGAGGGGAGGCCATGTCAAAAAAATGCTGGAAGAAAAAAAAACATTAGAAAAACAGTAAGGTCTTTCCTAACGGAGTGGAAAGACCTTAATTAGAAAAACAATAAGGTCTTTCCTAACGGAGTGGAAAGACCTTAACAACATATGATGTACCAGAGACAAAGCGATATTATAACGGACTGTTATTGTGATTTCCGTGGTAAGGATGAGCAGTTGAAACCTTCAGTACACCACCCTTTCAATATAAATGTATTTTTGATATTGAAAAAAAATCTTATCCTATCATATGTATTTTGATAAAAAAAAAAATTAGACCCAGTTTGGCTATATTACTCAATTAAGGATGAGTAAAAATAGATTTATCACTTCAAATATCTGATGCATTTAATTGCATCTTTGAAAATTAGTAAACGTTTTAGATACGTATGGTATATTCAGCAACCTTATCACATATTTAATCTAAATTTCTAAACCTTATTTATATATTATGAAGCTTTAAATAGTGAACTGACCTATTCGATCGGCTCATCCCTACCACTCATTACGTCGTTTCTGTTAAAAATGCTAATATCTTTAAATTTCCTTCCATAAATTTCAAACTTGTCTATGTAAGGATTTGTTTTCCGCTGTCATACAGTAACTAAATTTCTTGTAGCCACCAAAGACTGTCAAATCCATTTACCAAGTTGGAAACTATTAGTATACAATCATAGTTTTTTTTTACGTTTTCCGTTCGGGAGACACAGATGTTGCGAACGGTAATGCTATCATCGAGCGTTACACGATCTTCCAAATGAAAAGATAATTTTACGTCGTTCCAAATGACGTTCGGATCTTTGTATTTGTATCTGTATCGTTACGTCGAATGTACCAATTCTGCTTTAACTCGACGGGGGAGAGAGCGCCTATGGACGGCGTTGGAGAGCTGTTTTGAAGCTCTCAACTGACTTGGCGCACACCATGTCTTCTTTCGGTTGGTTCCAATGAATCACAGTCTTAACGAAGAATGAGTTCTTAAATTGCTCAGTTTTGTAGTTTGTTGTTTCAATATTGCCTTTGAATCGTTCTTAACTGAGTTGTTTACTATGTTAGTACTTTCCAATATTGCCTTTGAATCGTTCTTAACTGAGTTGTTTACTATGTTAGTACTTTAAAAGTCTACAAAGCGTTTCGGCTTGATAATCCTTTTGGTTTTGCTCTTTACCAAAAATTCGTCAGGTTTGATAGCTGGGAGCAAACCCTCAACCACTTTGTACAGAAATACCAGTCTTTGGCTTGTTCTTCTGGACTGCAGGTTTTCTAGTTCCAGTACGGTAAGCATTTTGGTGACCGATCCTTCTTCTCTAGATTTGTAATCCCCTGTGATGAATCGTGCTGCTCTTTGCTGGATCCTTTTTGGTTGATGTTGTTAGTTGTATATGGGTCCCATACAATTTGTAATTAATGCTATGCATACGTTTACAGGATTTCTTTTTTTCGGATATAATGCGAAGTTTTTTTAATGCGATCTGGGAACAGTATATATATATGTTCCTGATGCGATTTAAAGAAACCGCCATGCAAATTAATCATTATTCTTTAACATTTTTTTTTAGTTTTCATATGCATAATTAAACGTATTCCTTCGGCCATCAGTTCGCATCAATTTTAAGATTGGTTGTGGTTTGTTATTGACTAAACTTTAGTTTTCATAGTGGTATCTTCAATGATCCCGAGAAGGAACAATCTCATTAGACTTGTAAAAATAAGCGCCCGACTTTGTTGCGGATATTACATGAAGTTTGTTTGACAACATCGCGAAATTTCCATACCTTTTTCTACTTTAAGGGTTTAATTAACAAGTTAAGACAGTACAGAGGAAGAACTCAGATTAAAGACTGCTGTGTAAATATACATATGGTTTAAAGGCATTGAGATATCTCTTTCAGATGCGGATCTGTTACAAACATACACATGAAAGAACACCATCACTGCATCAGAACTATAGATATACATTGTATAGAAAATATTTGGACTTACTTCAACTGTTCAAGACACAACCAATAGAAAATATTCATAAGCACATACATACTATGATGGTAGTTAATTCGACTCGCCTACCATGGATGGATTTTAACTCTAAAAAACTTATAAAAAAGGAAAAACTAGAAAAAAAAGTAAAAAATTCACCCATATCAATTCCAACAAATCAAAACACACATAAAGAAATAGGTGTTGAATGCTTACTTGGAATATATTGAAAACATGATAAAGAAATACATGAAACAGAACCAGATAACCAAAGATTCAATAAAAAACCAGCATTTGTTTTTGCTTTAAATAAATTCCTTATTCAAATAGGAATATTTATTGCTCCAATTAAATTCTTAGGATGGGGAGAATGACATTTACATACACAAAGCAATACACTATGATTTTGAAAAACACTTTCACATTGAAAGGAAATATTAAATGTTCATATAATAATAATTATATAAACCAACATACATGACATATATTTCTGTATTTTTATAAATCATGTACGGTTTAATTTATTCAAGGTAGGACCAGAACAATAAAGGCAGTGTCTGCGCGTACCCGCATGCGGGTACGAATAATCAAATTGCCATACATGGGCTACGCGTACCCACATCCGGTTTTATAATAAAATGCCATCGGATCGGAATGAAACGATAAAACCAGAGACATATAATATACACATATGTCTCTGATAAAACTACTCAGAATTTTTATAAATATTTATATATAGGTAAGTGAATAATCTACTAGATGCTTCGTTAATAAATAACAAAATATTTGACGAAAATGTAAACCTTCAGCGCCTCAAAAAAATATTTTACCTCTGAAGTGTGGAAGCAACTTAAAATTTGGATCAACGAAAGAAGAGAATCATGTGAATGGATATGTATCAAATGTAAAAAAACCTACACGATCAGGACTCTTTGGCCTGTGATTGTTGTTTGGACTGGCAACATTTGAAATGTGCAGGGTTGAAATTTGTGCCAAAACAATCATATTGGATATGTAAAATGTGTTCCAAATCTTAATTAGTTACATGAATCTTTTGACATTATTTCTTGCTAATTTTTATATAGACACCCAAGCTTTAATTTTAGTCTTTTAAGATATTTTAAAATTTCAGTTTCTGGTTTTAAATTACATCTTGCTAAAAGATTATTTTTAAATCTCATATGGGTATCCCCATATTATCGATAATTTCCGTATATATTTCACGTTTCATTCCCGATCCGATGGCATTTTATTATAAAACTGGATGTGGGTACGCATAGCCTATGAATGGCAATTTGACTATTCGTACCCGCATGCGGGGACGCGCAGACACTGCCAACAATAAAATTGTGACAATTATCATCATTATTTTCATTCATGTTTCACATTTTGTTAGGTCTTCATATTTAAAAGTTCAATCATGCATATGAGATATGCTGATAAAAAATTTATAATAAAGGTTTGCTGATGCTTAACATTAACCCTTGGAAAAACCTTTCTAACTTGAATAACAAGTACATGTACTACACAACTTTAAGATTTGTTTACAACAAGGAATTATTTGAATCTGGAATAATTTTGAATTCTGGTAAAATTGATAAGAAATGTATGATGAAAACTAACCCAATTTAGGAGGGTAGCCATGCATGCATGCATGGCTAAGGGCGGTGAGTTAGTTCATACTGAAATATCAGTGAAAGTTAAATTAACATTAGCCATGCATGCATGGCTAACCCTATTTAGTTGGGTTAGTTTTAATCATACATTTCTTATCAATTTTCCAGAATTATTCCAGATTCAAATAATTCCTTGTTTTACATTAATCTGTATTTTGTAATTGACACCTTTTAACCCACATACATTTGTGTTAGTAGAACTCTAAAACTATTAATTTTGTTATAAAACGTAATTAAGCAACATAAATATTTATTCTAATACCTATTGTATTAAATTTTAAAGGTTAAAATATAAAACTAGTATTTCCTTTGAGTTTATGGTATAAATTTTCAATTGCCTCTAATGGGTCTTAACGACAATTGCCTCTAATGGGTCATAACGACAATTGCCTCTAATGGGTCATAACGACAATTGCCTCTAATGGGTCATAACGACAATTGCCTCTAATGGGTCATAACGACAATTGCCTCTAATGGGTCATAACAACAATTGCCTCTAATGGGTCATAACAACAATTGCCTCTAATGGATCATAACAACTATTGCCTCTAATGGATCATAACAACAATATCCTCTAATGGGTCATAACAACAATTGATCTGATGATCAACAGGTGTATGTTTTGGTCAATCAGTTGCTATGTTGTTTACACAACAATTAGGGTATATCCTGGACATTTCAATTTTTTAATAATCAAAGGAAATGGAAGCCATAACTAAATGAACCTGAACAGATGGTTATCAGCATGTGCTTGCAGACAAAATATAGAAGAACTTATATTATTATAAACCTGGATATCAATTTAATTACCGTTACATATACATGATATACATGTATAGTCAAGCATAAATATAGCTATATATAGAGTGGCACTAGAAATTAAGCCAGCAACCATATTTTGCCTCCAGATGAAATTTAAAATTGCTATTAGATACATTGGGAAAGTCTAGTGCCATCCTTGCATATCTAACAATGGACCACATAAACATCAGCAAAGAGAGAACATCTTTAAATTCATAAAAAACAAAATCCCAAAAAAGAAACAGGATCAGATAACATAACTGGCAATTCCTCTAATTTTCACAAAATGAATACAGGAAAAGTACATTATGATTGGAAACACCCAAACATCATATCTAAAATAGAGGGCAAACATCACCTTGGGAATTAAAAGACCAATATCACTTACCAGTACATGTATTTATTTTTTACTGATTGCAATATTAATGTACTGTACAAGAACACAAAAAATAACTTATTGGTATTCTGTAGCAATCAAGTGATCAAAATGAACTGGCCATGAAATATTGCTTCATAATTATCATGTCCAAGTATTAATTCTTCCAAAACCTCTCCCCAATAGCGTCTGGTAAACTAGCGAGCACAAATTTCCCTTAATGTATAAAGCCTATAAAGGATATTATATGAGTTTGTGTAAATAGCCATGTTACCAGGATAAAGGGTAATGTTTGATTTTTTTAGCTCACCTGGGCTGAAAGGGCCAAGTGAGCTTTTCTCATCACTTGGCGTCCGTCGACCGTCGTCGTCGTCTGTCGTCGTTAGCTTTTACAAAAACCTTCTTCTCTGAAACCACTGGGCCAAATTTAACCAAACTTGGCCACAATCATCATTAGGGTATCTAGTTTAAAAAATGTGTCAGATGACCCCGCCAACCAACCAAGATGGCCGCCATGGCTAAAAATAGAACATAGGCGTAAAATGTAGATTTTGGCTTTTATCTCTGAAACCAAAGCATTTAGAGTAAATCTGACATAGGGTAAAACTGATTATCAGGTCAAGATCTAATTGCCATTTTTTCAGACAAATCTGACGACTCGTTGTTGGGTTGCTGCCCCTGAATTGGTAATTTTAAGGAAATTTTGCAGTTTTTATACGACCGCAAAAAAATTTTGTGGTCGTATATTGGTATGACGTTGGCGTCGTCGTCGTCCGGCGTCGTCGTCCGAAGACACATTGGTTTTCGCACTCTAACTTTAGTTTAAGTGAATGGATCTTTTTGAAATTTTACCATAAGGTTAAATACCACAAAAGGAAGGTTGGGATTGATTTTGGGGGTTATGGTACCAACAGTTAAGGAATTAGGGGCCAAAAAGGGGCCAAAAATAAGCATTTTCTAGTTTCCAGACAATAACTGTGGAACGGTGTATGGATCTCTCTGAAATTATACTACAAGTTTCCATACCACAAAGGGATAGTTAGGATTTGCTTTGGGGGGTTATGGCTCAAACGTTTAGGAACTAGGGGCAAAAAAGGGGGAAAAACAAGGTTGTCCTGGTTAATGGACAAATACTTTAGTACAAAACATAATTTAAAGCAGTGTAAGGGAGATAAATCAAATACATCATTGAAATTATCTCCCTTACACTGCTTTTAAATTATGTATAAAGTAATGGTTAATGAACAATAAAGATAATTTAAAACAGTGTAAGGGAGGTAATCCAAATACAAGGTTTTGGTTACTTCCCTTACACTGCTTTTAAATTATGTTTAAAGAAATGCATATTTATAAAGGAAGACCAGTAAAAATATCTGCAAATGTTGCATCATCTTTTTTACAAAAAAATCCATATGAAAGATTTGATACTATATTTTTAATTCTATTATAAAATAGATTAAGTTAGCACTATGGTAAATTTTAATGGGTAATTATGGTTGCCAACTCCATTGGAAATTTTTTCTCATTTCAGATTTCAGATTTCAGAAATTAAAAAGAATTATTTTTCAAATATTTTTTTTTATTCAAATTTCAAATATTGAAAAATTTCAAGAAGTAATCTTTAATTGCACAGTATGGCGCATTAGATTTGTTAAATCTGTGATCACATTTATTTATTTGTTATGCCCAATCTAACAGTGTATTTAGATTTTTAATTTTGGGTCCAGTTTTCAAAATAGTCTACATTAAGGTCCAAAGGGTCCAAAATTAAACTTTGTTTGATTTTAGCAAAAATTGAATATATGAGGTTCTTTGATATGCTGAATCTAAACATGTATTTAGATTTTTGATTTTTGGCCCAGTTTTCAAGTTGGTCCAAGATAGGGTCCAGTATTTAAACTTTGTTTGATTTCAACAAAAATTGAATATATGGGGTTCTTTGATATGCTGAATCTAACCATGTATTTAGATTTTTTATTTGTGGACCCCGTTATCAAATTGGTTCATATTGAGGTCAAAAGGGTCCAAAATTAAACTTTGTTTGATTTCATCTAAAATTGAATTATTGGGGCTCTTTGATATTCCAAATCTAACGGTGTATTTAGATTTTTTAATTTTGGGTCCTGTTTTTTAAATTGGTCTACATTAAGGTCCAAAGGGTCCAAAATTAAACTTAGTTTGATTTTAACAAAAATTGAATTCTTGGGGTTCTTTGATATGCTGAATCTAAACATGTGTTTAGATTTTTGATTATGGGCCCAGTTTTCAAGTTGGTCCAAGATAGGGTCCAGTATTTAAACTTTGTTTGATTTCAACAAAAATTGAATATATGGGGTTCTTTGATATGCTGAATCTAAACATGTATTTAGATTTTTGATTATGGGCCCAGTTTTCAAGTTGGTCCAAATTGGGGTCCAAAATTAAACTTTGTTTGATTTCAACAAAAATTGAATATATGAGGTTCTTTGATATGCTGAATCTAACCATATATTTAGATTTTTTATTTGTAGGCCCCGCTATCAAATTGGTTCATATTGAGGTCAAAAGGGTCCAATATTAAACTTTGTTTGATTTCATCAAAAATTGAATTATTGGGGTTCTTTGATATGCCAAATCTAACTGTGTTTTTAGATGTTTAATTTGGGTCCCGTTTTTTAAATTGGTCTTCATTGAGGTCCAAAGGGTCCAAAATAAAACTTAGTTTGATTTTAACAAAAATTGAATTCTTGGGGTTCTTTGATATGCTGAATCTAAACATGTGTGTAGATTTTTGATTATGGTCCCAGTTTTCAAGTTGGTCCAAGTTGGGGTCCAAAATTAAACTTTTTTTGATTTCAACAAAAATTGAATATATGGGGTTCTTTGATATGCTGAATCTAACCATGAATTTAGATTTTTTATTTGTGGGCCCCGCTATCAAATTGATTCATATTGAGGTCAAAAGGGTCCAAAATTAAACTTTGTTTGATTTCATCTAAAATTGAATTATTGGGGTTCTTTGATATTCCAAATCTAACCGTGTATTTAGATTTTTAATTTTAAGTCCCGTTTTTAAATTGGTCTATATTAAGGTCCAAAGGGTCCAAAATTAAACTTAGTTTGATTTTAGCAAAAATTGAATTCTTGGGGTTCTTTGATATGCTGAATCTAAACATGTGTTTAGATTTTTGATTATGGGCCCAGTTTTCAAGTTTGTCCAAGTTGGGGTCCAAAATTAAACTTTGTTTGATTTTAACAAAAATTGAATATATGGGGTTCTTTGATATGCTGAATCTAACCATGTATTTTGATTTTGGACATTGGACCATAATAGGTGAATTAAAAAAATTCAAGTTCTTAGACCACATTCTTTCTGTGTCAGAAACCTATGCTGTTTCAAATATTTAATAACAATCCAAATTCAGAGCTGTATCAAGCTTGAATGTTGTGTCCATACTTGCCCCAACTGTTCAGGGTTCGACCTCTGCGGTCGTATCAAGCTGCGCCCCAGCGAAGCATTTTATTGGTTATTATCTTGAATATTATTATAGATAGAAATAAACTGTAAACAGCAATAATGTTCAGCAAAGTAAGATCTACAAATAAGTCTCATGACCAAAATTGGCAGTCGACCCCTTTAGGAGTTATTGCCCTTTATAGTCAATTTTTAACAATTTTTCGTAAATTTTTGTAATCTTTTACAAAAATCTTCTTCTCTGAAACTACTGATACAAATTTAACCATACTTGGCCATAATCATTATTAGGTTATCTAGTTTAAAAAATTTGTCCAATGACACCGCCTTCCTACCATCATGGACGACATGGTTGAAAATAGAACATAGGGGTAAAATGCAGTTTTTGGTTTACATCTCTGAAACTAAAGCATTTAGAGCAAATCTGACAGGTGGCAAAAATGTTCATCAGATTTAGATTTATCTGCCCTGAAATTTTCAGACGAATCTGACAACTCGTTGTTGGGTTGCTGCCCCTGAGTTAGTAAGTTTACAGAAATTTTGCAGTTTTTTGTTATTATCTTAGATATCATTATAATATCTAATATCTAATATTATTAATTATGATTTTAACCTTATTTTACATGATTTCCAAAGCATCAGTAAATACAGGTGAGTGACACAGGCTCTTGAGAGCCTCTAGTTTTTTACTCTTGTTTTATGATTATGTTACAGTTTAACATGTGTATACAGTACAAATATAATGTATATTTCAGGGCTGAAATCAAGTAAAAATGTTAAATCCAGAAATGACAGATGAAGATGCTGCCAATGCATTTTTGAGCAAGTTGATGTTAGATACAGTAAGTTCTCTACTTGTTATTAAAGTACCTAAATGCACATTTTTAAAAGGTAAATGTTTAAGGAAATAAAAAGAAGGTAGCCTAAAGCCCCTTTGCCATTTATTATACGACCCCAAAAAATTTTGCGGTCATATATTGGTATGACGTTGGTGTCGTCGTCCGAAGACACATTGGTTTTCGCACTCTAACTTTAGTTTAAGTGAATGGATCTCTATGAAATTTTACCATAAGGCTTAATACCACAAAAGGAAGGTTGGGATTGATTTTGGGGGTTATGGTACCAACAGTTAAGGAGTTAGGGGCCAAAAAAGGGCCAAAAATAAGCATTTTTGTAACTTCCAGACATAACTTGTGTGTTAGTGTATGGATCTCTCTGACATTGTACCACAAGGTTTCATATCACAAAGGAAATGCTGGGATTGATTTTGGGGGATATTGCCTCAAAATTTTAGAAATTAGTGGCCAAAAAAGGGGCAAAAAACAAGCATTTTTCTAGTTTCATGTCAATAACTTGTGTGTAAGTGTATGGATCTTTCTGAAATTGTACTACAAGGTTCCATATCACAAAGGGAAAGCTGGAATTGAGTTTAGGGGGAAATTGCCCAAAACGTTTAGGAATAATGGGCCAAATAGGGTCCAAAAATAAGCATTTTTCTAGTTTCCAGACAATAACTTGTGTTCAAGTGTATGGATCTCTCTGAAATTGTACTGCAAGGGAAGGCTGGGACTGAGTTATGGGGTGATGAATCATAAGGAGGTTCAAAAAATTTGGGGGTTGGGATTTTTTTTTCCTTTTTTTTTTTCTTTAAAATTTTCCATTTAAAATTGGTTATTTCTGATTTATATATAAAAGCAAATAATAATGATATGGTTTGAATAGGTAAATTAAAAAATTTTAAGTTCTTAGACCACATTCATTCTGTGTCAGAAACCTATGCTGTGTCAAATATTTAATCACAATCCAAATTCAGTGCTGTATCAAGCTTGAATGTTGTGTCCATACTTGCCCCAACTGTTCAGGGTTCGACCTCTGCGGTCGTATCAAGCTGCGCCCAGCGGAGCATTTTATTCATAAGGATTTGAATAGTATTTTCTTATATCATTATACCATTGTGGACATTAGACAGATTTTGTTATAAACAATAAATATAAACAAATCATGAACAATTATTTGTGATGACCATGTAGATGAAATGGAAAACTTCCTTTTCATTAATATTATCACCTTGTAACATATATGGAAAGGGAATGTAGTAAAGAATCATATCTGCTAATCTGTCTGTGTTAATCTGCAAGTAATCCCCACCTTGTCAACACAATTTAGACTAACATTTGTAATGGTTGTGCAATCTTTATTGGACTTTTTTTTTATAATTAGAATCACCAACATTTCTTTCATATGGTGACTAGAAAATAATCTCTGTTATAACCTTGTAGGCATAATACAGACGAAATAGCGATTTTAGCTCTCCTAGACAGAAAGTCCATTTGAGCTATTGCCATCACTTGTTAACATTTTCAAAAATCTTTTTTGAACCAATTAATACCAAAATTTGTGTTAATGTTCTTTGGAGTATCTTGTTTATAAATATGTCAGAGATTTTGATATGTCAACAAACATGAAAGTTGGTGCTAAGAATAGAACATAGTACCTGGGTAAAACTGTTTATTTTTGGCTGATATTTTCATAAACAAAAGCAATTACAGGAACACTGACAGAATAAAAATGATCTTGAAATTTTCAGAAAATACAAACACCAATTTAGCAGTTATTGCCCTTGAAAAGTTGTTTTTAGTTAATTATGCAGTTTTTTTGCTTTTATATGAAAACCTATAGCTGCTAGATGAAAATGTAAATTGCAGAAATTGCCAATTATCTTGAAAACTATTGAACATTAGTTGGAGGAAAATTATTATTGCAAAAATAATTGTCAAAACAAAATATATCTACCTAAAAAAAATGATCTACCTACATGTATTAAGGAGTTATGTAAATTTTAGCAATTTTAGCAAATTCTGTTTTTTAAGTTTTTAGGCATTATCTCAAAAAAACTGTAGTAGCAAGATTTGAATTATAATGCAAAAAATGATAAGCATAACAAGATATACCTGCCTTTGAAAATTTCATAAAACCCATTTGGAGTTGTTGCCACTGTAATGTCTTCCATGGGTTTAAATTTTTAAAAAATCTTCTCTGAAACCACTCATTTGTAAAAAAAAAATTGTACTGTAATGAACAGTTTTAAAACAAACTTTGTGTGAATGCACCTTGGGGTATCTCTGAGGTTTTGATTCACTAGAAACATGGATGCTGTTGCTAAATATATGGAATACTTGGGTCAAGCTGCAGTTTTTGGCTAATGCATATACCTCAAAGATTATAAGAGATAGAGAAAATCTGGCAGGTTCAAAATATTAATGAGAATGTTTAGACCATACTTGTCAAGAAAACTATTTTATTGAAAATTACAACTGCAATTATGGACAAAGAAAGATAATTCCTATTCAAATATTGCCTAATTGTGTTCAATTGTTTAAACAATGCAGTGTTCGATTTTAAGTTCACATTACAAAATGAAAGCAATCTTTACTCTTCAGTGCTTTCAAGCACTTTGAATACAATGTATTGATGAAATACTTCTAACAAGTATCTACATAATAAGTGTTATTTTTTCAGAATAAAGAACAAAGTGATACTGGACCTTCTTATGGTGGAGTTCCATATGTAACAGTTGTACCATCACCTGGTAATACAGTTATATTAGATATGTGGATATCATTCAAAAATTATTTTACACTCCAAGAGTTTTTTTTTATGCATTAGAGTACATGTAAATAATAAAGGGCTTGCCTTGTGCAGAATACTGTGACCATAGCATGTCAAGGAAAAGTTTTAGAAAATTTATAATAAAAGCAACTGCAAATATAGTAATGTGGTGGACAAAGAAGTATCTGCATCCAAATTTGACTTGATTAAAAAAGTGAACATTATGGGCAAATTTCCTTTCAACCCTTTTTTACCGCAAAAACCACAAGAGCTAGGTTAAGTCTGATTTCAAAAGCATAAAAAAGGAATCTCATCGGAAATTTAAGCATAAAAAACCATTTAAGTTTTATTTTCATGTGAAAGTTTATTAGTTTTACCACAATCCTGATATGTCCCTATGACTGTTCAACCTCACAAAAATAATAGTTGGTTTGGAGTTTTTCGGATTATAATCAGGAAGATAACTTATAACATTTCTTCAAATACAGACTTTTTTAGACTGTTTTGTTTTGACTATAAGTAGATTGTTGATTAATCTTACATAAGTACAAGAAACATTTCATATTGCATAAATTATTACAGACCACATTAAATGTGTTTGGCTTTAATATAACAAATGTATATCTTTTGTGCAATATATTTTACAAGTTACATCTTGTTTTATATGATTTGCCAGGTTTTTGTGTGAAGACAAAAAATGACTCTGGACAGAAAATCTTCATCAATGTGTGTCATTGTGATAATGTAAGTCAAGACTTTTTTTATACCATTACCATAATAAATCATGATTTGTTTGGGCTGTTCCAATCCTACTCCCACATCGTATGCTTTTTATGAATGATTTACCTCACGTCAGATGGTGTAAATGAAGTCATTGAACGATGACGTAAGAATGTAAGGATTTTACGGGAAAATGCACGAATGGGAAAGTCGTCAAAACATGAAAACGTAAACAAAGATGGTAAGAATTTATATAATGTCCATATCTTCTTAAATGAAAGTAAGATAGTCAATTACATTCATCCAAATCTGTCTCAGTATGTTATTGTATATCGTTTAAGAATGTCACTTATTTAATTTTCTTTGCCGTTTACGCAATATTAATAGTGTGATCAATTATGGAATAGTGTGATCAATTATGGAATAGTGTGATCAATTATGGGAACAGCAAACATTTCCCTTCACATAGAGCGCTTCAATCCCAAAGAATTGCTGTCATTGTCCTATAAGAATAGAAATAATTCATGTGGGCTTGAATTTATATTACTTTTACCATGGGTTGGCCCTTTATGCTGATATTTTATCCTTCGCTGTCGCTTGTGGTAAAATATTTAGCATAAAGGGCCAACCCGTGGTAAAATCACAATAAATTCAAGCCCCATGAATTATTTCTTAATCAAGGGGCAATGTAAAATCATAAATCCTAAAAAAAAAAAAAAAAAAAAAAAAAAAACGAGGAAAGGACAAGCAACGATAATAAAACATTACATAGAAAACTAAAGTCTGAGCAACATGAACACCACCAAAAATCGCCTGAACTTTTGTGCTCTAGAACGGTAAGCAGTTCTTGCTTTAGATATTGCACCAGTAGTGTTGGTAAAATTAGTTACATTCCAGTATGTTGACTAGATCTTTTTTTTGTGTATTTATGTTGCTTTCTCATCAATGTATATTCAACATGTGCTTTTATTCATATCTGTTATTAATTAGGTATGTTCAATTTAGTAAACTTCAGCAATTGCTAAAATAATAGGATAAATGTTATTATATTAGTTTATATGAGACAGATGAGTAATCATTACGGAAAATTTGTAAACACCTGCCTGTATGAATTAATCACACAAAACCTCTGGGGTGCTCTTCATCTATATTGTTCTAAAAATACATTTTCTGTTCTAGAGTTTACCACATTATTTTCTTCTGCTGTTTTTTTTATCTTGACTACTATGAATTTATACTTGTATGTAAATTTCAGTAAATTCAGTCAATTTTGAAAAAATGCTTATACCCATGAATTGAAATATTCTTTGGTTTGTTTGTAACCAGTTTAGCAAGAGCTAAAATACTTCAGATCTAGATATTTATCCTAATAAAGTAAGACAAAAAAATTGAAACGAAAACTCATGATGCCTTGATAAATCCTGATAAATATAGCGTTACTTAAACTGTCATCTTTTAGAGTTTTATAAAGTATAGCAAGGTCACAGCAATGACTAGGTGAATTTTAATATTTATTCATGATTCTTATAGTAATAAAATGCTTACGGTAAGGCTAGAATAAAAGTAAATCTGAAGTGAAGATAAGTTATAATAAGAAACATTACAATGTCATATGGATAGAGTGCTATGAACAAAGGTCAACCTTGCGATCCTTGTTGATAGGTCAAGGAATCACAACAGGCATACATCACTATATATATATATATATATATATATATATGAGTCTAGAAGATTGTGTAACAATACCGATAAATAGATGGAAAACAAAACACTAAAAAGTGTTGAATATCATCACACAAAAAATCTTTAAAAATCAAAAATGGAATAACAAAAAAAAACAACAAAAAACACATTGTAAGTATTACTGTACCAAGTACTTTATTTTATTTTGTAATATATAAAATAAATTTTTGTTTGATAAAAGTATTTAGAAATCTAAAATTTTTATGAATTATCACACAGCTCTAACTACTTCCAAGCAAATGTTCTCATTATAATTCTAATATTGTTATTTAATGGTTAATTTGATATTCTCAATTTAAATACTTCAATATTCTTTAAATTGAAAGGTTCCTAAGCCAAAAGACATCACAGAAGATGAGTTATTAAAACTGTTAGACTCAGATGATCCTTTTAGTTTCCGAGTTCCCATGAGTTTAGGAGAACCACATGCTGAGACAGACAAAAGTGGTAGTGGATGTACTGTATATGATATTGTTGTTAACACACAATTCTTAGAGAAAATGAAGACCAGTGAAGTGTTCAAGGCTTTTTTCTTAAGTGTTTCAATGGAGGGTATAGAAGACAAATACAAAACAACAATTGACAGAAGTAAGTTTTAATGCACTTGTACTGGTTGTCCTTGGTTAGTAATGGTTTTTTTTTAAAAACAAACATCACTATTTGTCTACCATGCTGAACATCACAACCAACCTTAATTGTTTAATGTCAAAAGCAGAAATGTCTAATTCTACAATGCAAAATGTGATTCCTTTATGAGGTCAATAGGTCAAGTGTCCCTTAATTTTGAGTCAAGTGTCACAGATTTCCAAAAAAACAATTAGGTGTATGTTTACAGTAGTATATATACAAAGACATTGCTATTCAGAAGCAATCACAACACTGAACTAAAGACCGACAGTGAAGAATTCTGATACTGATTCTAGAGTACGCTATAATCACTAACTGTTCTAAATAATAAATACTACACCTGTTTTTGGCACATCACAGTTTTTGTTATTTTGTCAGAAAATATTGAATTAAAAGAACAATTCGAATAATCTACGCATTATACAGTATTATCACATATTTGTTATGAAAACATTAGGTTTCGCATATACATAACCACAGATTTGCCCTAGCCATATTTCTGCTCGGGACAAATAACCGGTTATTGTGCCCTGTTATAACGTTATAAGCGTTCCTAACAACAATGACGTATGAGGAACGTTGATTAAAATGACAGCAGAAATTGGTAAAGAAATTAAGAATACTAATATTAAAAGAAAATCTGACATTGACATAATGGTATTCAAAGACTATAGTTTTGAACTGTTCGGGAGGTTTGTAATAATGAAGTGGAGGAAAAAAAAATATATGTTCTTGTCAAACAGAATAATAAAATTCTTTCTACTTTTTTATGCATTTGTATAATATGTGATAAATAGATTATAACATGTCCTTTTCCATATAGGCCATGGTATTATCCCTCGACCACTCACCAGTGTCATTTGATATTTTGAAATTTGAAATACAGGTCATGAACAATTTGACATTCACTTTCTAATGTATGAAGTTGCAATTCTGTTTTTAGAATTTTAAGACTAGATCTGTTAAAATTACTACTGGTACTAAAAATCATGGATTATAAAGTTTTAAGTTCAGTTTTGACTGTTTGTTATTTACTCTTATGGGGACATATTTTGTAAGAAACACCTTTTTAGATTGTTTAAGTTCATATGATGAAAATAAAGAGTGAAAGAGAAGAAGGAGGAATTGTATGTTTGGATTATTGTCTTTTTTTTTAGAATGGATTATTTTAAAGAACAGAAAATCAATCGGTACTTTACAGGAACATAATGTGAGAAAACAGTCCAAACCAGTTATAATGGATATGGATGAATATGGGTATGTTGTTAACAGAAATAAATAGTACTTGATGAAATGTTTTTGTATTCTAGATGTTAGTAGGGAATCATTAAAAAGCACATTTTGTGTCTTTCCAATTTTTTCCCCTTTAAAATCAATCAACTAGAGCCAAATTGATTTTTTAAGTTTTTGGAATGTTAGAAATATTTTGTTGTTTGCTTTTTTTCAGGCTTTTTTTAATGAAATGAGGAGATGTGGTATGTTTCAAATGAGATAACTATCCTTTAGAGTCTCAGAACAAAGATGTTAATATACAAAGTAAAAATAAAACTTGTGTCGAAGGAATGGGGCCATGAAGGCCTCAATTTGGCCCTAAAAATTGAACTTTGTCATATCATAAGCAAAAATCTATAATTATAATCTTAAATATGCAAAGTTGGATATAGGAGAACCTTTTTCTGTTTGCTGTTGAACAATTTTGACAGCTTCTGCCTTCAAAAGTAGGATATTTTACAGGATTTAAGCCAGATTGCCTGTTTTAATGCATTTCCATCTAAAAAACATTGGCCACACCCTTCGACCAAAATAAATTTGTTATACAAAGATGTATAAAGATCTGATGGATGTGGTCAATGTCGTTTGAAGCAAAAACTATTACAATTTAGCCAAAATAGTAGTCAAAATTATGATTTTGTCGTAAGAGTGCACAATTATGATGTCATATGTCATAATGACATCATAAGTGTTCTAAAGGTCAGAACTTGTTGGTTTTGTATTTGTCAGATATTTTTATATATTTTGTCATCACATGTTTACTATTATTATTGAATTTAAATTTTGCAGAATTATATTTATATGTATTGAAGTAGTTATTGCCATCTGTACAATGTAATCTGAATGAATTAAATGTTTATTTTACAGATCCCCACATGGTAGTATTGGTAATCCTCTTATACAAGAAGTAGAGAAAAAGCCACCAACAAAAGAAGAACTTAGAGCTAGGTACACTCTACATATTATTGACTGAAAAATCATATTTGCTTGATTTTGTTGTTTTTTAAAAGAAAACATAAAATTTGACTGTCAGAAACAGATGTCTAATATAGGTTGCATTTTTTTTTGTTGAAGATTGGAAAAATTTTCTAAGAATCTGAACTAAAAACTTCAGAAAAGTTTTAGCCATTGAAATAAGAGCATTGTGAAAGAGAGGCAAAAGATACCAAAGGGACATTCAAACTCATAAGTCTAAAACAAACTGACAATGCCATGGCAAAAAGAAAAAACAACAAAAAGACAAACAACAATACACAAAACTACTTTGAAACAAGCTTAAATTAATGTATTGACATATCAGAATATTGATGTTGATTACAGGCAACACAGATTTATATGACATTACAGGTTAGAGTCTGATAACTTGTTGAACCTATATCTCAAGGATAAAAAGTTAAGAATAATTTTAACAAACATGGTCAAGCTTCATTTGCATCACTATTAACTATTTGATTGTTTCTTTACCTGACACAAAAAAATTGCAAGTTGTGTTTAAGTTTGATTTAGGTAAGTTTTATTAGAACTTAATTTTTTTAATAGTATAGAAAAACATTGCCAATTTTCGAGAAAAAACATTTCCTCCAATCAAGAAATTTCCTTAAATGTATATGAGTTGTATTTTACAGAGGAGAGGAACCACTGTTTAGAATTATACAAGAGCCTCCAGTTGGTCATCCTGAATTTTTAGTAGCAGAAATCAATCTTCCAAAAGTTGTAAGTATAAATCATAGTACAATAGTTTCTTTAGAAGTAGCTTTTTTCTGGAAAAGTCTCAGTTTTAGCATACTCTAACATATTTTTTCAGACTGACATTAAATAATGGTATTAGAAACTGATTTTTATGTTTATATGAAAGTAATCTTTTGATATTGTAAGGCGTAATTAAAAAGATGTGAGCTATCGATCACTTATTATATCTATATCAATGCTTTTTTAAAAGGAAATGAAAACACTGTATGGCCTCATTAGATAAATTAAAAAATTATTATATTTCAGAAATTAACCACCTCATTAGAGTTAGATATAGGAGAGGATAGAATCTTCCTTCAGACCAGATCTAATGTATATTACCTAGATATATACCTACCATACAACTTAATACAGGAGGAATGTGGGGCTCAGTTTAATAAGAAAACTAGAGTAAGTCTTATGCATGTTTAAGTGTAAAAGGAGTTGAAAGGTACCCAACACTGATACACCAACCCAAATGTATGAACAAAAACATTTCTTGATTAAAGAGTGAAGAAGTTAACAGAGTATATTAAGGCTGCAAAAAGCCACTTTATTTTAAATTCATGCACATTGAATTATAGGTTTCATAACGAGTGAGAATTGGATATTACTTGCTATCAACTCAAGTTACCAATTAATTTCAATATAATAATAAACAAGCCTGTGGTGTGCTTATTACTACTATTTGAATTAAATAGCAAGGGTTAATATCAAGGGATATCTAATTTTAACAAGTTGTTAAACCTTTTTCTCTTATATGGTAAACATTCTCATTGTGTTAAATAAAAAATTGTTGATCTATTCTTTTGCACATACCAGAATGACGTCATATGTCTTTTTCTGATGTCAAACTTTAACAGACATTTTAAAAGTTTTTTTACGCTTCAGAATGTAATAAAATTTGAAGAAAAGAACATTTTCAAGTGAAAAGTGCGAGTATTTTGTATATTATTGAAAATATCACATATTTCTGTTGCCATAGAAGAAATGCACATGGTTTTAACCTTTACAAGTCATCAATGACCTAACGAATAGCCAATAGAAAAATTGCAATATCATCTCATGATGCTGGATAAGCCAATCAAATTACCGCATTATTCGTATCACACTCAATACAGTGTGATACGAGAAATATCTCTGCATGCTAGAAATATATAACAGGCCACAACCATAAGAGAATCATACTTTCACAATAAATCTCTGTATTCTTCACTCTCTTTTGAACTTATGTCAGGTAATAATATTAGTGAAACTTATGCTAGTTGAAATTGATAGTTACAAGACATGGGCAGTGAATATTGCGTGAAAAAGATCAAAAGGAACCAAACAAGAGTGTTTTCATTGTTGAATTGCAGCATGTATTTTCTGTCTTTTTTTTTCTTGCTTTTATCAATATTATGATTATTACAATTTTTGTTTTTTTTAATACTTGATGTAAATGGTTAATAGTTAGATTGTTGTAAAACTAAAAAATATTTTAATAAACACTATAATTTTTATACCCCACCTAGGGGCATTATGTTTTTCGGTCTGTGCGTCCATTCGTTCGTCCGTCCGTTTGTTCATCTGTCCTTCTGTCCTGCTTCAGGTTAAAGTTTTTGGTCAAGGTAGTTTTAGATGAAGTTGAAGTCCAATCAACTTGAAACTTAGTACACATGTTCCCTATGATATGATCTTTCTAATTTAATGCCAAATTAGAGGTTTGACCCCAATTTCACGGTCCACTGAACATAGAAAATGATACTGTCCAGCTTCAGGTTAAAGATTTGGTCGCTTCAGGTTAAAGTTTTTGGTCAAGTCAGGTTAAAGTTTTTGGTCAAGGTAGTTTTTGATGATGTTGAAGTCCAATCAACTTGAAACTTAGTACACATGTTCCCTACAATATGATCTTTCTAATTTTAATGCCAAATTAGAGTTTTGACCCCAATTTCATGGTCCACTGAACATAGAAAATGATAGTGCGAGTGGGGCATCCGTGTACTATGGACACATTCTTGTTTTGTTGTGACATGTTTCCTATTGGCTTGGTTGCACACCTGCTTATAGGATGTTGGGCATTGAAAGGTTGTCACCCATTTTGTGAAATAAGGTCCTCCTACAGTTTTCAATCCAGATCTATGTAACTTCACAGACAGATTGCACTCATGTTGAAGCTGTACACATACTATGGAATTGTTTGAGGAACTTCAGGAAAATTTTCAAAAGAGGGTATACAATTTGTGCAATCTTTTCTCCTGCAGTTTTCAATCAAAATCCATGAAACCTGTCACAAATAGATTGCATACATATTGAAATTGTTCACCTTTTATTAAGGAATTGTTTGAGGTCCATTTTTACATTTTCATGATTGTAAATTTTTTTCAGCAAAGTTAACAGAAGATGGGACCTGTTTTGTATAATCAGCTTTACCTACAGTTTTCAACCTAAATTCTCAAAACCTCCCAGACAAAAATTGCACATATATTGGAGTTTTGAATCTGCTATTATGGAATTGTTTGAGACTTTTTCCCCATTTGACAAGCCTTTAGAAATTATTTATTTTTCATTTACATTTTATTTTTCGCATAGATCTAAATGTTCCTTATAGACCATGCTCCATAATTTTAGAAACATTCCATTCAATCTTGCCATTTGAGTCTTTTGTCCATTTTTTGTTAGAATATTGATAAGATTTTGCTTTTTATTCTTCTGTTTAAGATTTTTCTAATAATCTTTTATTCTATTGATAGATATTAACCATGACTATGCCAGTCCAGCCTTTAAGCTGACAGTAGCCAGATAGCAGAACCTTAAGTTTATGAATGAAGCCATGGACGAAAAAGGCCAACTAGGACAGCACACTTTGCTCTAGCTTTTTCTGTTATGGATTTTGAGGGAGACTGAAATGTATTTTGTATAAAATGTGATAATGTTACATTGAAAAATAAATTGACATTCAGTGTTATTGTTTTTGCCTTTCTGTATTAAAACAATCACTTTAGACACATTTGAATGACTCTTCTGCAACATTTACCACATAATCCTTGGATGCAAAAAAATAAAGATGGCTTTGATTGAAAGATGTTTGCATCAGTCTGTATCTGAAAAAAATAACTATATTAGGATCTGTAGGTGCATTTTTTGGGAAATCTATAAAGAAAAAATATAAAAAGCAAAAATAATGAGCAGAACAAATACAATGTATATCAAAATGACAGAAACTGTTAGTCTAATCCACATAGAAGTTATTGCCCTTTAATGATGATTTTTTTACCCAATTTTTGCACATTATGCAAAACAATGATATAATAAGAAAGACTGTAAACCGCGAACATGATCAGTAGGACAAGATCTGAAATTAATATTCAGCATAGCTGAATTGTCAGTTGACTCCTTGTAAGAGTTATTGCCCTTTAATTGTGTTTTTACCCATTTGTTTGCATTTTTTACAAAAAACTACAGTAGAAAACTGTAAACTTCATAAATGGTGAGCAAGGTAAGATCAACAAAAAGAAGTCTTAATCATGAACTATTTTCTAGTGGAAAATGGATACAGATCCAGGTGAGTGACACAGGCTCTTGGGGACTTCTAAAAATATCCCAATTATGTGTGGGTGTTAAGGGCCTTCTCAATTGAGATTCATTAATCTTTTCACAGTTGAGCTTGCTCACTTAGGTTTTTGAAGTTTCAAGGTGTTCCATGTGAACTTTTGCTGTCACTTGATGTCTGTCTTTATTGATCTTCCTCATTAACTTTTTTTTAACAAAGTTTGGTCTGAACAATATTTTGCTTAAAGTTCATGATTGTTGTCCCTGCCAAACAACTAATCAATATGGTCGCTGTGGCTATATATATAACACATGTAAAATGGTAAAATGCAAGTAATTTTCCATTGTTTTGAACACTAATAATAGTCGACTGATAGAAATATTCAGAATGGCAAGATCTACCCGCTTTCAACTTCTACTGTCTCGCTACTGTTTGTACATCTGTCCATCTGCCTCAATAAAATATGTTTGAAATAGCCTACTGTATTACCCCTGTCTGTCTTTTTCTACATCTTTATATCTGTTTCTCCATCCATCATTCCACTGGTCCTTCCATCTATCCCACATACAAAGACTTAGTTTACCTAGTTAACTGCTTCTACATATTTTAAGATAGAGGTTTTATATTTTGATGAGTATTAGCAGAGACATATGATGTATATTATATGTCTCACATTTCACTTTCAGATATATTGATGATTTCCTGTCGCTCAATGACCCACATTTCAATGAATGCTTGAATCTCATATATCCTAGTGAGCTCCAAATGAAAGGATACTACGGAAACTAGAATGTCTGCTCCATATTTTGATCTTTTTCTCGATATTGACACCACAGGACGGTTTCAAACTAGAATTTATGACACGTGATGATTTCAACTTTCTCTTCTCAGCAATAGCATACCCTCTGCCCCATCGTATGAAGAATGTACATCTCAATTGATACGTTACCCTTTGCATGTTCACTCTATACGAATTGCATTTACAGAGGTGTGCTCCTTAAACGAAAACTGCTCCAACAGACTTTTACAGTCACCAACCCGAATTGCCTAAATAAAGGCAACAGTAGTATACCGCTGTTCGAAATTCATAAATCGATACAGAAAAAAACAAATCCGGGTTACAAACTAAAACTGAGGGAAACACATCAAATATAAGAGAACTACGACACAACAGAAACACAACATTAAAATGTAACGCACACAGAAACGAACTATAATATAACAATGGCCATTTTCCTGACTTGGTACAGGACATATTAAGAAAAAAATGGTGGGTTGAACCTGTTTTTGTGGCTAGCCAAACCTCCCGCTTTTATGGCAATGTTAAACTATAACATTAAAATGACAACATTACATGACAGGACTACAATACAAATAAATGGGAGAACATATAGGACAGAGAAACATACGAATAATAGCTAACAAAAGGTACCAGGTTTAAAAATTAATACGCAAGACGCGCGTTTCGTCCACACAAGACTAACCAGTGACGCTCAGATAAAAAAAAGTACGAAAGCCAAAACAAGTACAAAGTTGAAGAGCATTGAGGACCAAAAATTCCAAAAAGTTGTGCCAAATACGGCTAAGGTTATATGTCTGGGATAAGAAAATCCTTAGTATTTAGAATAATTCATACTTTTTCAAACAGTAAATTTATAAAAATGACTATATAATAGATATACATGATAACAACGAAGTGGCGACTAACTACAGAATAAAAACGGATACATAAAACAACATAAACTAGCACATAAAAATTCACAACCGAGTTAACCGATAGGATATTTCTGTGTCATAACTCACTGGTGACATGTTTCTCGGTCTAAGATCCCAGAAATGTCGTCTAATCTGTAAACTTACTGATTGTATCCTATTTCCGATTATAACATTTCGATTGAGAGCAGATTTGCACGACGAATGATATAGCAAGAGACGTTTACTCTATCGATACACCAGGTCTGGCTTTTGTTGGAGTCCGTCAGTTTTTGTTTTTTACTAATATTTGTATCTTCTCAATCAATTCATATGATTTGAACAGCGGTAAACTACTGTTGCCTAAATTATTAACTAACGGATTTAACCAACTTGAAACTTTAGAATTATCATTATATTCATTGGCCATAATCTATATTATAAACTCGAAAAATTCATTTGAAAGTAGCTTGAATCAACAAACCATACAGTATAATTAATTTTGGACTTATTAAAATCATATTTAACAGTGAGTATGTCTTTTGTATATTTGTAATATAAACGTCATTTGTTAAAGTGTTGGTTTCGGCCTTTATTTATCTGGTTTCTGTAACGACTTATTAACTGATTCGTAACAGTAGTTAAAAGTATATGCATGTAAATCAAATATATTAGAAAGTAGTGATTCTTGAAGCGACAGGTCTTCATAATTACATATAGGAAAAACATATAAAACAGAACTATGTCTAAAGACTGAATGTTTCTTGAGTAGCAAAATATAACCCCTAATGGTGTAAAATCACATAAAATTTGATGAAATTTGATAAATTCCAATTGACAGTACTAATATAAGATATGGCCGTAAGATGAACTTTTCTTTTCTTCATATAGTTGTCAAAACCATTAAGCCGAACCTTTTAAAATAGTGAAATTAACATCAACAGCAAAATCAAAATAATAATTTGACTAACAGTTGCAGTGCAATATCATACACTACGAGGATAATATGATTGTAATATAGACTTTGTACATATTAGACTGAGAAAAGTTATATAGCACTATTTAACAAACGTGTGCCATATACTAGTATAAGGTTATTGTATATCTAATAAAAAATTCGAAATATTTTACAGTCTTGTTAATATATTATTGTAAACCAAATAAACAGTTTTCATTTCGTATATAATATTGATAGCTTGATTTGTAACGACTATTGAAATCCTGGCTGAAGGTCATTAGTTGATTAGTTGATCTGTTTCAAATACAAATCCTTCGTAAGGTGTGATACAAAATATGGCATCTGTCTCATATCTTTACTCTCAGTATGTCCAGGCTCAAATGTCATAACTTTGCTATTTACTTTTGTTAAAACTCTGTAAATATCATCGTCTTCCTTGATGTTATGTAGCTCTTCTATTAGATGACGTAAAAATGGTGATGATGACTCTGTGTTAAGGAAAGATCTGTCACCTGTTGAAATGAATTCCGGACGTGAACAATTGAAATATTATAAATGCTATTCAATTTCCTTCTAAATCGTTTTTATGCAATGTAAGTAAAGAAACTAAAATTACATAGGTAGAACTGCCATCTTAAGCCAGCTGGTTTACATTTACATTGCTGATTTCAATGCCTGCACCAAGTAAGGAATATGATAGATGTCTTCCATTCGTTCCTGCGGCTGGCATAGTCGAACGTTTTATGATGTCATTTTATATGGACTTTCCTCTTTTTGAATTTACCTTAAAGTAATTTTAAGATACTTTTTTTCCACTTCGCTAGAATTGTCTTCCAATTAAACGAACTAATTTGAAATGTAAGCAAAAAGGTTGCCACGTACAGTTGGGATGACCTGGGACATTATATATATTGTTAGTAAACTATTCCAAGGGATGACTGACTTGATAACTCTGAAAAATCGTTAGGCACCGGCACCGACCATTTACCTGTTTTTGGGAGAGGGGGAATCATATTGTTTTTCTTTCTCGGGACAAACATTTTTTTCAGACTTCTAAACAACCTTTTTTTCTCTCAATAAAATACAAGAACAAGAATTTCAACGTTGTATTTATTGTTGTCATAATTTCAATGCAAAGACACGATTTTCACATCCCTTCATTAACAAATATTTTTACAATCATAGCCCAATCCGCTGCACAAAATGAATTCTGAGGCACGGAAAAAATAATAAATAAATATTTCGCTAAAGAATAGGTTTAAGATATGTTTTAGGAATTAAAGACAAATAGCTACAGATAACATAATGAATGTGTTCTCACCGGTTGGATTTTTCTCATTTGTCGTACATGTTAATGAACATAATAATAATAAGCATGCATTATTTTTTTACAGAGAAGACAAAGTGGTAGTGACTCCAAAGCCTTACCGTGTATTTGATTTACCCTTTCTCAATAAAATTATTACCAGGATCGGTTTTTATAATACTTTTTCCAGGTAGATATGTCAATTAAATTTTCATCAGTGTAGTCTAGTTTTTTTCTTGTGCTTGATAACGGATTTTGTTTAAAAGGATTGCAACCTTTTTTCCATACGAAAATCAATTATTATGTGACTTAAGTGCATTATATCTATAAGCTTCAAATTATATATTTGTGTTAAAAGTATATAACATTGAAAAAAAAAACGCAAGTAATAATCCATCTGTTAAAAACACTGAATAGCCATAAAAACAATTGTAGATATTTACTCTCTATAACACCAGCGCATGAGGCATGGACCCCTACCTGTTTTCATTCTTCTTTCTGTCTTTGTTTTTTTCATTGAATCCCCCCCCCCCCCCCCTATTTTATGCGTTCTCACCCTTACCCATGGATGCAATTTTACATAAATTTCACTGCCCCGGTTAATAGTGCTTTCCGTTCCCAACCCAATTTTCCATATTCTATAATTAGAGTGAAAAAATAAACATCGATTTAGCCGACAAAACAGAAAACAAGAGATATAAAAATGGGGATAATGAACATAAACTCAAATTGAGAAAAAAATAAAATGGAAAATGTTTCAGCTATACAAATTTAACAAAACACAACAATGTATTAGAAATGTGAGGTACAAACCTATTGACGTAGAATAAACTTCAAGGAAATCGGATTCATTGGGAATACGAACAGTGTCTGCATCATTTGGAATAGAAACTTTGTTTTTAAATGTGTCCGCAACAATAATATCTTCACCTTGTCTTGAATCTGGTCTTCTAGAACACTAGATTAATTGTAAAATAAATCAGTAAACACATGCTTGTTTTTTCAATAAAATGGAACTTGACAGGCCTATCTTTTAGCTTTATTTTATACTTGATAAAATTGCTGTCATTATTTCCGAACATGATCAAAAAGAAAAATAAATATCTGCGGGTTGTTTCGTTTTACCTAGCATTTTGCAAGGTGGTATTGCGGATTTTATGCTGTACAAACATACCTTTTACCTTTGAAAATCCATCTTTTCCTTTAATATTTCTCAAATTATGTATTGATATTTGTCTTTCGAGTTAGTTTGATTCACAATCGTTTTGATATTTAGATGTGTTTCAGTAGCCAAAAAATAATCAGTCAATCTGAATCATTCCTTGCCTAGAGTAGGGAGTTTATTATGATCCGAAAGCCCAGGTTGCATGCTCATAGAATTAATGTAATTTTTTTGAATAACATTTAGTAAAACGATCTACAGACTCAACAATATAACATTATTTATATGGGCAGATATGTTATATTCCTATACAGGAGGGAAAGGGAATTGCTCACTTTTGACCGAAATTCGAAGAGATCATAAAATACCACATAAGATTACCCGGGATATAATTTTTACTTAGTAAATAATTTAGTCATATATACTGTGTTGTTATGTGTTATATGTCTATACCTTAATATTTATCAAACAGTATAATTTTATTGATAACTAAGTTGATTTTTCATTATAAAGTTCATACATTATGTACCAGTCACTGTACTAAAAGTAAGGTTTAACTGTTTTGTTTAGGTCTCGAGCATATTTGGTGACGGTGATTCCAGATAATGTGATATGCGCACAGAAAACAGTATTAAAGTTTATTTAAATACAAAAAGGTTCTTGTTTCAGTCTTTGCCTGATAGACAACAATCGTTTAAATCAACGTCGGTCAATACAATGAAAAAACACTTAATAAATTTCGTGCATCCGAAGCGCTTTTCTGAATTAAACTTTTCCGGAAAATTTCAAACCTAATCATTTGAGAGCCACGGATGCATCAATATGAACTGAATGAATTATATGGCTAAAGGACAAAATTCATCTAAGGTGAACTGTGCATGAGGGAGTTGGAATTCTAGCTTATTATCAATTACGTAATATTTCTGGAGATTTTTGGAATTGTAGGTTATAAATCATATCAGTATTAAAGCAGTGGTTACTGAGCGGATGATAACATCGGTGTGAACAGTTAAGCAGCAGCATGGACCCAGCGCTTATAAATGAAAATAACACTTCATAAACTTCATACGTTCTAAGCGGTTTTCTGGATCAAAAAAGCTCTCAAATCAAAACATTCGAAAGCCAGAGATCAGAGATGTATAAATACGTGGATATATATATTATGCTGGTAAAATATAATTCATTTAGAACATTAGGCTCATGAAAAATAGACTTGAATACAGGCCTTTTCATCTTTATAGACACACATAACTTTGAACAAATGTAATATATTTACATTTAAATTTCTACCCAAAGCGACACTGAAGTAGGTTTCTCCAGCTAGTACTTCTGGAACCAACGGTGTCCTTGGTTCAAATCATACGACTTAAAATCACATTTCAAAAACTGTTTTTTGAAGTATGCATTAACATAAACGTTACCAATTTATCTGTACCAGATGCGCATTTAGAAAATTAATGTCTTTTCAGTAATGCTGAGGCCAAAATATATGAAAATCCAAAATCTTATACAAACATTGAAGAGTTGATAACATAAAAAAAGGAAAAACAGTAAAGCGTATCCCGAACATGAGATCAGGTTTATGTATGAAGGAGATATAATCCTTAATTCAAAATTTTTAAGAACGCAAATTTCAATGAAATAATAAACACATTTTCACGAATTACTGGCTACCGATATGGTTAAATTTTCGAGGACGAACAATCCACCAGCAGAGGTATCGAACCAGTGGATGCAATCGTGTTGGAAATATGATTATGTTATCGTGAAGATGATATAGTTATGCAATGCATGAGGGAGACTCCTTCCAAAATGTAAAATGATTTCCCAAATTTCAGCAATTTTCTATAAAACACAGTATCTACCTGTGGTAGTAAATTTTAAACCAGCTTATTTCAATATATATCTGTATTCTCAAGAATATTTCATATCAGTTTATAAGAAATTGGACACCCAATATCGGTATCACCAAATATTACAAACAAATGTCCAATCACTAAACATATATAAATATAAAATCTACTAAAAACAATTTAAGACCAATCTATTATGATTTTGTTTACATTGTTTACACTGGAAAACGAGTCCTCTCTTACGCATTCACATACATATTGTTCATTTGATGTTTCGTCGGAATCTTGGTTTTTTTATTTACTGTCCTCGAGATACATGAACATTAAAATAATATGAGGAAGCCATTAACAAATGTATTATGATAGTGCAGAAATTAATTACATGACAATAACAAAAACACAGGGCGATATCTAAAATTAACTTATATTACCTGGAAAATAAATATTTTGGGCTTAAGCATTAGCTCTGGACAGTTCTCTGCATTGAAGTAATTCATTACTGCTTTCATTTTTACACATGTATCTGTCATATACACGCTGTCCTCATTACCATGTGTCAACAAAGCGATGATCAGGCAGTCTGTTTTCGATAATTGGTTCTTGTCTTTCATAACTACAACAAAAACATACAAAAGCCTTTGTTCATACAAAATATATTATTCAATAATGAACATTCGAAAAAAAAAAAATTGACACACATTATACATTCTTTTTGTTTTGAATAGGTAAAAGAAACTTTATTTTTTTTTATCAACCACTTAATAAGTGAAAATTTCTATTTCTTCAAATTTCCACAGTTAAAACCTATCAATCAAATTATGATTGGGTTTTTTATAAGCTACCTCACCAAATAATCTATTTTCTTCACTCTCTTGTACCAAAGTATGTTTTTATTATTTTCATGTTTTGGCGCATCAATGTCTAACTTATAGAGATGAAAAATTGAATAGAAATCAAATATCCGGTTGATATATACACAAGTTGTATTTCAAATAGAGGACCCAGTATGGGCAAAATTAGTACAATCAGCATATTTTACATCACTGGGTCGATACCTCTGCTGGTGGACTATCAGTCCCCGAGGGTATCATCAGCTCAGTAGTCAGTACTTTGGTACTGACATGATTTAACAAACTTTTCTAAAATTGTCCGTTTTTAAATTTTGAAATTATTAAGAAACTAAGGTTTCAACTCCCTCAGGCAAAGCTGACTTTATATGAATTTGGATATTTATTTTAGGTATTTTTGTCATATAGCTCTTCAACGGTTTCGGAACTTATACATCCTTGGATTTCAAATGTTTGGCTTTGAGCGTTCCTGATGAAGGTAAATCCAGAAAAGCGCTTCGGACGAATGCAATTATTATACGTGTTGTTTTCAATGTTTTACATCACTGGGTCGATACCTCTGCTGGTGGACTATAAGTCCCCGAGAGTATCATCAGCTCAGTAGTCAATAATTCAGTATTGACATGATTATACAAAACCTTTCTTAAATTGTCCATTTATAAATTTATGAATTATCAAGAAACTAAAGTTTCAACTTCTTCAGGCAAATATGACCTTAGATGGATTTGGCTATACTTTTTAGGTCCGTTACGGTCATTTAACTCTCCAACTGTTTCAGTTCTTATACATATTTGGCTTTCAAATATTCGGCTTTGATCGTTCAATACGAAGGCAAATCCAGGAAAGTACTTTGGGCACATGGAATTTATAAAGTGTTGTTTCCTCCTTTTTTTTTTTTTTTAAACATTTACAATATTGATAAAATAAAAAAAAACCCAGCTCAAATATGGAATATATAAACATGAGTTCATATAAAATAACCATATAAACCATAACGGCCAGTGTTCGTTGACCATTCAGCAGAATTAGGATCATATACCATATAAACCATAACGGCCAGTGTTAGTTGACCATTCAGCAGAATCAGCATCATATCTATTACGAAATAAGCTTCTTTGAGTAAAATCCTCATCGTAGCTGATGCATACGAACAAATATTGTAGTTTTCCAAAATAAGGCAGGAGCTTAAAGGACACAAAACCAAATAAACATAGAAATGAATATCTAAGCCCTTAATAATACATTTCTAAACAAATGTTCAAAAATTATTAACTAGTGTAACATTGTCCACATGGTCAAGAATACTAAAACAGTTTTCCAAATGCAGCCAAAAAGTTCAGGTGATCGATGTTTTTGAAAACACTGGTGAGGGTTATGACTGATAAGAGTAAATTTCTGATTAATTTTGTGGATACTTAACATATTTGTTACGTTTGGAGGACGTGTTTTTCAACAAACAATAGGCATTCCCATGGGAACCAACTGTACTCTTCTTGTTGCCTACTTATCCCTTTATTCATATGAGACTGACTTCATACATGAACTTCTTAGGAAGAAAGAAAAGAAGATAGCAGTATCCTTTAACTTCTTTTTCCGCTATATAGATGACGTTCTCTCACTAAATAATTCAAAATTTGATGACAATGTTGAACGCATCTATCCCATCGAACTGGAGCTAAAGGATACAACAGATTCAGTTAAGTCTGCCTCATATCTTGACTTAGTTCTAGAAAATGACAATGATGGTCGGTTGAAAACAAAACTTTACGACAAAAGAGATGATTTCAGCTTCCCAATTGTGAAGTTTCCATTTCGATGAAGCAACATCCCAGCAGCGCCTGCATACGGAGTATATATCTCCCAGTTGATACGATATTCCAGAGATTGTATTTCCTATCATGATTTCCTTGATAGAGGGTTACTGCTCACAAGGAAGCTATTAAACCAAGAGTTCCAAGTGGTGAAGTTGAAATCGTCTCTTTCGTAAATTTTACAGACGCCATCGCGAGTTGGTTGACCGTCATGGAATATCCGTTTCACAGATGACAACGGGTATGTTCCAATTGTTGTAACTACAATCCCGTCCCCCTTTCCCCAGAATCTCCATCTTCACTGCCTCGAGGACATTCTTATGTATTTACAATGTGATGAACTAAGGTAAATAAAAATCTGTAACAGAACCTGCCATCCAAATATTTTATGAAATAACAAATAATTGTGGAGTTTAGTACTTGTGGGAATTTTAAATAATTCAGTAGAATTTATTTTTGATAATCAAATCGCTTTTAAATGCAAGCTTATACTTCAGTAAATATCACAGATAAACTGCTGTGTAGCTCTTTACTTTCAATGGCTTAGTTTTTGTGAACATTTCATTCTATACAATAATTCAGGCATTTTGTAAAATGACTTTAAATTTTTCTAGGCATTGTGTAAAATGCCTGATCAAATTAGTCAATATACAAAATACCTAAATGTTACAGGCATTTTAGAAAATAGCTAAAGTTTTCAGGCATTCTACAAAATGTCTGAATTAAGAAAATGCCTGTAACATATACAACAAAGGCGAATTAAAATCTATCAATCAAATTATAAATATTTTCCATTGACTACGATATTACAAAACTAAATGGTGACGTCCAAATGAACGTAAACACGCGAACTATCAAAAGCTATAAAGTGTCATCGTGAAATAAAAAAATAGTTCAAAAGGTTGGTTGATGATGGAAGTTTTTAACGACCTTGACTGGCTATACAAAAGGTTGGAACAACAAAATCCCATTTTATACACAAATTTACAAGTAATTGCCATTTCAGACTTACTTTCTTGTAACTTCTCTACCAAGTCTTCCTTACTGGCATCATTCATAAGATCACTTTCGAAACCAAGTTCCATGAATCTTTGGAATAGAGATGAAGCATCCACATCACTTCCTGGACGATCGGATAAACCTAATCTGGCATCAAACTCTGTGTTATTGATCACAACTGCTATTCCAGATCTTATTGTATAACTTTCTTGGTCCAAATGGCTTTTGTATATTATTCCTTCCTTTGTGTTACTATAACAGAAAAATCATTAGATACATTTGTAAATAAAAAATAGTTCAAAGGTAATAATAATTGAACACCAGCAGAAATTTTCAGTGTTGCATTGTTTACTTAAAATGAAATCTTTTAAATTTTCCTTGTGGTTATTTCAATGAAGTATTTGTCTACACAAGGACACATGTCTGTACAATAAACTACATGTGAATGAGCATGATCATGATTACCCAAACGTTCTTGTGTTTTTAGATGTCCATCTGTTCAATCAACCTGAACATTTGTAAGACTCTATCAAATGATTCGACTTCCACCTTATAATTAATTATACGCTTTTCATTGCAATGAATTTTTTATTTTCAAAAGTAGAAATTAGTCTTTTGGTCCATTACATTTTACATGGAGAATTTTATTGTGATTACCAATGATAATTCAAAAATAAGAAGACTAATAATATAAATGTAATTCAATAAGCGTGTGTTCAAAATAATTAGTATGATATTTTGAAGAAGAAATTGGTAAAGGCAAAAATGGAAAAAAAATTCAACATGTACCGTTCTGCCATCTTGGTAATTGGGTATTTTAATGTCTTTTCTTCACAAAGATATCCTGTAGCATTCAATTTTTCTGTTTTTGCAATTTCTAAAAGTATAAATTATACAAATTACTTATAACAGATATAAAAGAGGGACGAAAGATACCAGAGGGACAGTCAAACTCATAGATCGAAAACAAACTGACAACGTCATGGCCAAAAATAAAAAGAAACACAGTTAAGTTAAGATTTATAGGATTATAGCTGTATGAAGTTCATTACAGAGCTAAACGCCAACATCAAACATCCAATGGAAAAAAAATCTGCACTATAAATTGAAATATGTTAATTTTTCTCAAAAGTGGCAGATATTACATTCTTGTCAGGAGACAGGTCTTGAGAGTGACGTTATCAAATGTTTGAGAATATTGTCGTAAGGTGTTTTTTTTTCCATTCATTAACAATAAAAACGTAAAAATATTACAAAGGGTTTTTGCAAAATACGTCAAACCATTACATGTTCAGACTTAAGATCATTTAGAACATTAATTTTAAGAATTATTTGGCGATACATATTAAAAGGTTATACTTCGTGAATAAAGTTGCCTCACAAACCACGCATATTTTTAGGTAATATATGCATAAGTAAAAGTTCAGTTCGCAATAGTATGTAACATTTGACTTCTCTATGTTTTACATTAGTATTCCTTAGTCCAACTTTGATTCCTAAAAAGCTGCTAATATAGATACAGTATCGTGTTTTATGAAGGAATACATCAGACTTTAAAAAATATCTACTTTGACGGAACAAGTATTTTCTGAAACTGCGTCATCTAGTTACTTGGAGTTTTTTGACAGCATATTTGTTACATTTATAGGACGTTAATTTCAACAGACAATCGGGATTCCAATAGGAACAAACTGTGTGCCTCGTCTCGCTATAAAAATTATGTACTTTGACTAAATATTTCAATGTTTTGTTACTATGTTGAACGCTTCAATCAAATCGAACTTGAGATACAAGATACTACAGTTAAGTCTGCCAATATCTTGACTTATTGCGAGACATAAGCTATGAGAGTCGGCTGAGAATAAAACTTTAAAAAAAAGAACGGAATTTTACTTTAAATGTGAACCTTCAATTTAAATAAAACAACATTCCAACAGTAAAGTTTTAATTTTTCATATGAAAAGTCACCCTGTCGACTTCCCTGATGCGATGTTTGGAGTTCGTACGATTCCCTCTGGTGTGTTTTACTCTAATTAGTATATTCTTAATGGATTTAAACATCGGTAAATTATGATAACTATTGCCTGTAATGTAAAGTATCGTTTGTATTTTTCTTTCATGATAAGTAAATTTATGTATTATGACGTTATTCCATTGGTCTTTTGAAATTTGTATCATATAAGAGGCTACTTAAGCAATCTGATAGAAAAACAAAGGATATGGGGTATCCATTGAGTTTTTAATTTTAAGATCTTTCTCGTGCATATCTATTTTAATGTTATATTTAACATTGCCATAAAAGTGGGAGGTTTGGCTAGCCTCAAAACCAGGTTCAACCCACCATTTTTTTCTTAAAATGTCCTGTACCAAGTCAGGAAAATGGCCATTGTTATATTATAGTTCGTTTCTCTATGTGTGTTACATTTTAATGTTGTGTGTCTGTTGTGTCGTAGTTCTCCTCTTATATTTGATGTGTTTCCTTCAGTTTTAGTTTGTAACCCGGATTTGTTTTATTCTCAATCGATTTATGAATTTCGAACAACGGTATACTACTGTTGCCTTTATCTATGTTCGATGGCATTATCGTGCATAATTTTGAGCGTAAGAATTCTTTCAAGGTAAACTTACAAACAGGTGATGCGAATTTTCATCAAGGTGTGTATTAACTCTAAGTAATATAATTGATCTTTAGCATAGTGACAACACCTTCAAAACGAAATAAACGGTTATCACACAATTTTTGAAGATAAGTTGACAAACAAGAGCCATGATGAAACACTCACACATTAATCAACCTTTTATAACTCTCTTATTTTTATTCAAATCAACAAATTCAAAAGTATGATAACCAACTTATAAGAAGGGTACAACTGTATATTTATATTGCGGTTAAAACAGTATATTACCTGCACTAGAAAACTATGTTGAATATCCGAGAAGTAGAGGGAACAAGGAAGTAAAAAATACATAAACTGAAAGTAGATGATAAAAATTTGAAAAAGTGGACATTCAATAAGGGTTGTTAATGAAATGAGCACTTATTGCCGTCGCGTATCATGTGTATAATCTTCTGATAACAATCGCGCTATATGTGTGTGTATCATTCATTTGTTTGATGTGTTTGAGCTTTTGATTTTGCCAATTGTTAAGGGACTTTCGGTATTTTTGTTGTTTAATTTTTACGAGAATTAGGAAGATGTTGAAGGTAATTATTATACTTAAACGACCTATTATGATTTACAGAATATTTGTACATAAATAGTGCAATCACAATTCTCATTGCTCAAGGCATAGTAAATTAAATGAGTGACATTATATAAATAATTGTTTTAAAAATCTTTCCCGAAAGATTTCTTATGAGCTTTTAATTGAATCCAGCCTCCAGAGTAACCCCTTGAGACTGCTATTCTGACCGTTTGCATGTATTTGAAAAACTCAAGACCTTTGTCAGGACATTTTTCTAACATTACACTTCCATAAATCATGAAGGCGGAGGTCCATACATTAATACTTTTGATGGGACTTTTCTTTTGAATAACAAAACACCCCCATTACTGCCACTTCACCCTATAAATTTTGCTCGTTTACAAGGTCTTGAGTAGATTAAAAAAAATATATTCAGGTTAATGAACTCACCGTTCCATATTTTTTTTACCGGAATGTGAGATGAGATAGGATCGAAACCACTTGAAATATATAAAGGGGATTGGTCCACTTGTAAACGAGTATCAAAAGAACTATAAAAAGCTCCCGACCCTTGTGAATCAAATTGATTAGATACATAATTTTTCAACATACCAAGATTATTGTTTGACGAAATCTGCAAACCGGTATTACCAGGTTTTGAAGTCATTGTATCAGAAATTCCTGTCACGGATGTTTTCCTCGTTGCGTCGTTGACTTTCTTGTGGTGTCTCTTGCTGGATCCTGAATGAAATGAATGGGGGCTCCTGATGATTTGAGTCTGCCATGACATTAATCACAAGTCCATGAGCCACTGACAAATCTGAAGCTGTTGCTGTCCTTGAAAAACTCATTCATTATGTACAGTTTGTAATTGCATTGTTCTGTGATCTTCGCACATCCATGTCTGATGAAGCTGGAAGTGGTCCTCGTGTTGATGGCATAGGATCGAGTGGTCTCTGTTTGTTCTTTTTATTTGTTTCTTGGCTGGTCCTGGCTGATGAAAATATTAGAATGTGAAATGTGGATGTCATTGATATTTTGACGATTGTCTTTTTGAAACTTATCTACAAGAGTGGCTAGTTTAATGTTAGGCTTAAGAGTCACGTGATGTTAATTAGCGGGAAACAAGATACGGATGAGAATGATGCAATAGTTCTTTACGGAAAAGTAAAGAAATTAATCAAATCTCTTTCATTAAATTGATTTATCTTATAAATGAGATAAACCGTAATATCAAAAACTGAATTCCTATATAAAATTATAGAGTGACTGGTTAAACACCTTTGAAAAAAAAAAATATAGTTTTTTGCCTTCAGTTCTCGGTTTTTCTAACAAATGGAGGGACTGACTGCTAGAGTTGCTAATTTCCTATTAACTGAAAAATCTTAAACTGATGTTAATAAATGTTTTTTTTTCGAGTAAATCCTTCTTTCCCCTTTCAAAAAATACAGTCATTAATCTCTATATTATTTCCATCTTCACTAAATTGATATCTTACCTATTCAATGAAATAGACGTAACAAATAAGGAAATATTCTACTAAACATAAACGTTGGTATTTTTAATTTTGATGGGTTAAAAGAAATTAATTTAACCATTGTTTAACACGGTTTTTCATTATTTAAAACGAATTACAAGTAAGAAAGTCTAAGCCATAACATATTAACCAATTGGCTGTCGATTATCTAAGCAATGACGAGTAAAATATTTTTTTTTAGCTTTTATCGACAGATACTTATTGATATTGTTTCGACTGGTTCTTTCGGTACACACTATAAAAATCTTGAAACTATCACAAACATGAATACAAAGATTCATACAAAGAAGGATTATGAATAAAGGATATGAGTATCCAACAAATGTTAAAGCATCATAATTTTCTTCCTCAGGTTGCATTTTATGTTATTTAGTTCGGAGTTTAACGTGTTTCGCAACAACTTTATACTTTAAGCCGGCGTCGGCATTTATGGTACACAATTGTTTTTTTTATAGGTGTTTCTGCATTATTCTATGCCACAATTGTCCCTATATATAAGAGTTTTTGCAACAAATATCATAGATACAAATGTAAAAATGTACGAAACGCATTAAAACTAAAAAAAAAAACCAGTTTAATTATCAATGCATACTGCCAATGTACAATTTATATCTTATAATTTAAAATATTGTGTTAAACAGTCCCCACCCCCTCTCTCTCTCTCTCTTTCTTTCATTCTCAAACACAAACCAAAGTGCCAATGTGATCTTGGTGCTAATTTCATTTCCAGTCTATTTGTCTTTGTGTTCAACCATTATATCCATTGATATTAGCATCATATCTTGCAAAGTGTTTGTCTCAACAGTGCGTGATCTGCTGAAAAAGCTAGTTTTCCGCAGATTTGAAAGTTTACGTCGAGTACGGTGGGCATAATTAAACGATTTGCTTCAGTGAAAAACCGCAGCAATTCATTTTTCACGAACGTCTTTCATAAACCACTGAAAACGCGTCTCCTTGCACAGAGAGCAGTTTACAGATCTTGATCTTTTGGAAAAATTACTCAAAATAGAAAAAAGACTAAACATATTGTATAATTATACACTATGAATATTTTTATAAATTTCCTGTTTATAAAACTTTGAATTTTTCGAAAAACTAAGGATTTTCTTATTCCAGGAATAGATTACCTTAGCCGTATTTGGCACAACTTTTTGGAATTTTGGGTACTCAATGCTCTTCAACTTTGTACTTGTTTGGCTTTATAACTATTTTGATCTGAGCGTCACTGATGAGTCTTATTTAGACGAAACGCGCGTCTGGCGTATTACATTATAATCCTGGTACCTTTGATAACTATTTACACCACTGGGTCGATGCCACTGCTTGTGGACGTTTGGTCCCTGAGGGTATCACCAGCCCAGTAGTCAGCACTTCGGTGTTGACATAAATATCAATTATATAGTCATTTTTATCAATTTCCTGTTTATAAAACTGAATTTTTTCGAAAAACTAAGGATTTTTTTATTCCAGGAATAGATTACCGTAGCCGTATTTGGCACAACTTTTTGGAATTTTGGGTCCTCAATGCTCTTCAACTTTGTACTTTTTTGGCTTTATAGCTATTTTGATCTGAGCGTCACTGGTGAGTCTTATGTAGACGAAACGCGCGTCTGGCGTATTAAATTATAATCCTGGTACCTTTGATAACCAATTAAAGTGTTCTTAAAGTATTTTAGCTTTATTTATTTGAAACATGCCTTTCTTAAATTGTCCGTTTATAGATTTATAAATTATTAGGAAATTAAGGTTCTCTCTCTGGCAAAAAGTTGATATAAGATGGATTTGGCTATAATGTTTAGGTCCCTTTTGGTCATATAGGGCTTCACTTGTTTTATAACTATTTTGATCTGAGCGTCACTGATGAGTCTTTTGCAGACGAAACGCGCGTCTGGCGTCTTAAATTATAATCCTGGTACCTTTGATAACTATATATTCGGTACTCGTACATCCTTAGCTTCAAAATCTTTGGCTTTGGGCGTTCCAATTTATTGCCTTTGGGAGCAAGTTGCCGAACAAACAAAAACGGCTTTCTAGATATTAGTGTTCACATATTCTATGGTCTACATTCTATAGAAGTAAATGTTGATAAAATCCCTTGAAATTAAAATAAAATGAAAAGCAATCATTAAAAGAAATTCGTATGCTGTTTCGTTTGTTGTCTTTAAATTAGTAAGAAATATTGTTTTGACAAACTGCCGAAACGACCTAGTAACAGACAAACGAAGAGGTTAATTTAAGAAAAAAAGACCTTTCCTCCTTTCACTTGATTAAGTATATTATCAATATTGTCGTTTTTTCAGATCAAATAAAATCATCATCTCTTAGATGCCAAGAAAACCTTTGGAATACTAAAGAAAAATGAAGTTTAAAGTTTAAAGAATTGGTTTTATTTTCTTGCCTGCAATGAAATTCGCGGAAGTGAGACATAAGCAATTATACATTCCATCGTCAGTGTCGTGAACATTACAATTGAGTCTGCAGTTACAGTGTTTGAGACCTCAATAACTTTGAGAAACCTACATGATCTAGGCCAGCGCCACCCTTACTATCAACAGACAGTATATAGATAAAAATTTAGATTTGTTTTCTCACTTTTTCATATTTCACTTATAAATTGACTTTTGCAGTAAACATTTGATATAAACATTATAAAGTAATCGGAAAATGCCTGTACCAAGTCAAGAATATGGCAGTTGTTTTTCACTTGTTCCGTTGATTGATAGATTTTTATTTTGTCAATTTTTATGGACTTCCCATTCTATATTCAGTATTTTTGTTAAACTTTGTTCAAATATTTTAAACCGCAACAACTTTGTCAAATTTTCATGAAATTTCAGAAACTGGGACAAATGCTTTCTTAAGCTTATGATGAAAAGACAGTATCCAGAGGAAAACAATTACAATATTTTTTCCTCATTTATCTGTATTTTACTGATAGATGGTCCTTTTTTATTTATATACACTCTAAGGTTAACGGTTTTTAGACCTCAACAAATCTCCGTAGAAGTGTATGAAAAATTCGACAGAAGTTTCTATGTAATAATAGATGGAAAACATATGAAGAGAAATTTCGAAAATATATTTTTTTCTCTCATTTTTAATTATTTTTATAATAAATGGACCTTAATGGAATGTTACAAAACTTTGAACCGAAACTTCTTTATCATTGAGATATATCAAAAAAAAATTATTCGTACATAATTAGGAAAGAAGGTTACAACTCCTTCATGCAATCAACAATA